CTGAGTCTGGACCAAAATTGGGTTGTGGTCTCAGACCCAGCTCCAGAGAGCCAGTTTCCACGCCTGCCCACAAGGAAGGTGGATCAGGTAGGAACTGTAGTGGTAGGAACTCCACTATAGGCGGACAGAGGCCTCCCTGCCCCCACTCCAGGGCAGCAGCTCCGTGGACCTTTAGGGCAATCGCTGTGGAGAGGCCAATTTCTGCAGGGAGGCATCCAGCAGCCCCCAGGGCTTCGACCAGGTGAGCCTGGGTTCCCTGCCTGCCTGACTCCTGTTCGGTTCTGCAGAGAGCCTGCTACCTGTCCATAAACCCGCAGAAGGATGAGACACTAGAGACGGAGAAGGCTCAGTACTACCTGCCTGACGGCAGCACCATCGAGGTAGGTGTGGATCTCCCTTCAGTCCTCCCAGACCCTCAGAAGCTCTGAGCCCAAACAACTAGGCTGGGGTCAGATGCACCAGCCCTTTTACACCCTCTGCCTGGAGCACCAGCACTCTCTCAAGCAGCGCTGTCTCTTGCAGAGCGAGGCTGTCTACTGTAGAACGAGGCAGCAGGAACTCTGCTTCTCCTGTGCGGAGGAGGGGCAGCACCAGAGGCATTTTCCTAGGTCGGGAAGGGGTTTGGAAGAGGGTGGTTAGTGCCGTCCTCAGTCACTTGGGCATAGTATAGTGTGAGCTACCTCTTCTGTTTTCACTCCCAAAGGGACCTCAGCCCTGGTCCCAGCCTCTGAGTTTGCTCTCCACCCTGCAGATTGGTCCTTCCCGATTCCGGGCACCTGAGCTGCTCTTCAGGCCAGACCTGATCGGTGAGGAGAGTGAGGGCATCCACGAGGTGCTGGTATTTGCCATCCAGAAGTCGGACATGGACTTGCGGCGCACACTCTTCTCTAACATCGTCCTCTCGGGAGGCTCCACCCTGTTCAAAGGTTGGTCTTTGCTCCTGGCCCATCTCCAGGTAGTTTCCAGATCTTGCTGGGCCCAGACGCCCAGAGAATTGACCTGAGATTCTCCTGTCTTGCCCATTCAGGTTTTGGTGACAGGCTACTGAGTGAAGTGAAGAAACTGGCTCCGAAAGACGTGAAGATCAGGGTAGGAGCATGGTGGGGGCTGTCTCTGGGGCTGTGCAGAACCAAGGCTCCCCTCCAAGGCTAGACAGTTCCCAGATTGCACATTGACCTTGAGGTCTGCCTGAGGGGAGAACCCATTTTCCTTCTCCTTCCCCACACCAGGGGGCAGTTCTGAGACCCTGATGTGGCCAGGTGCTAGGCTGAGGCCCCACGTGTGGTCTGTCAGAGAAACTGTAGCATTGGCATACTGACCCTTGCTGCTCTCGTGACACAGTCCTTAACGTCTTAGTGTTAACTACCTAACTTAACACTTAACATCTTAGTGCCTGCTGAGGGGAGCAAAATGTTGGAGTGTATTTCCTACCATGGAGGCTGCTTCCCATCAGCCCCCAGCAAAGCTGGATCCCGGCCCCTGTTAACACCAGCTTTCCTGGGAGCTGTAGATTCATAGGGCTGCCGGAAATCTGCTTCTCCAGACAGGTGTAAGGCCAGCCACAGTAACCCCCCAGAGAGGCTATTGGGTCCAGCAGGGACATAACTGAAAGCCTGTTGTGTGAGACACATCCACTTCCGTGGGCACTGGGATTGGCCATAAAGACGAGCGTTGGGCGGGAAAAGGACAAGACGGATCAAAGTCTCAGATTCCTCTTTCCACCCACCCTTTCAGATATCTGCACCTCAAGAGAGACTGTATTCCACATGGATTGGGTGAGTAGTTCTCCTGGGAATAAGAGTGGAACAGGAAGTGAGGGCATCGTTACCTCTCACCACCCCATCCCTTTAAAGCAGAGCCTCATCTGCTTTGGCCCAACGGGGGCTGGCTGGCTCCATGAACACTTCCTCCCTCTCACAACGTACCTTGGGATTCCCTCCACTCCAGGGGCTCCATCCTTGCTTCCCTGGACACCTTTAAGAAGATGTGGGTCTCCAAGAAGGAATATGAGGAAGACGGTGCCCGATCTATCCACAGGAAAACCTTCTAATGTCGGGACATCATCTTCACCTCTCTCTGAAGTTAACTCCACTTTAAAACTCGCTTTCTTGAGTCGGAGTGTTTGCGAGGAACTGCCTGTGTGTGTGAGTGTGTGTGTGAGTGCGTGGGTACAAGTGTGCGCGCATATGCGAGTGCCCTGTGGCCCAGGGATCCCAGGGCCCAGAAAGGACGATGAACTACCCATGATGGTGACGGCCTGAGGCCTGGGGTTGACCACTAACTGGCCCCCAACAGGGAAGAGTGCAGGCAGAGGGCCACCTCGTCAGCTGGGCCTTTGTCTAGCTGTGTGGTACTACGTTTACTACCATAGAGAGACAGAGAGGGTAAATCCTGGGAGACCTTGCTGCTGCCCATCCAGGCTGGGCTAGCCCCACCCCGTCCCACCCACAGGGTGCCCTGAGGCCCAAGGCAGCCACTGCCTCCCTTGCTCGCCTTCTGCTCTTGATGCCAATCAATCGTGGACTGAGGACTGGGGCCAGGGTTGAGTTCTGTCTGGTTTTGTTGCAATTTGGGTTCAGGAGGCTGGAAAAGCACTCCGGGAGCTATTACTGAGACTCTGGGGTCAGGAGATGGCAGGGTGCCCTCAACCTCACCTGGGGACCAGTACCACACTGGGCATTCAAAGAGGCGGGAGCAGTGCTACTTGTGATTGATGGCAGAGTGAACACCCCAACCCTCAGCCCCTGTCCAGGGGGGTTCTTGGGAGAGTTTCAGGAGCCTGTCAGCCCCAGGCTTTTCATCCATCCTTGGGCAATGCCATCTTCAAACAGTTTTATTTATTGAAGTGTTTGTTCAGTATGGGACTGGAGAGAGGGAGCTCATCGCCTCCTGCCCACCAGTCACCCTGTTCACACTAATGTTTACAGCACCTCGGTTTAGCATAGCGTCCAGGGCCCTGCCACTCCCTGCTAATGGTGAACTGACAGTATCCACAGGCATCAGGCCTATTTAGGATCAGAGGCTACATTCAAAGTCAATACCACCACCCTCTTTCTTTCTCTTCCTTTTTGCTCACTGACCTGGAATCAACAGGCTGGCTGCCGGTTAGATTTTCTGAAATAGGAGGTAGAATTGCTCTTTGGCAGAGGCCCCTAGCAAAGGAGGGGTACTGGGGATCCAGGCCTCTTAGGAGTAGAGAAAGAGCCACAAGTAACCAGGTCGCCTTTTCCCATTCTAGCTGACCCAGGGGGACTAGGCTGTAGAGAAGGCCCCCACTGGGCTGATTTGTGCCATTCATAATTTCGGACTTGTCTGGTTAAGGAGGGAGGGGGCCAGACCAGAGTGCCAGGAACTAACAGGCCTAGGCTCATCTCCCCTGATCCAGTGGGGCCAGGTGCCTACCCTGGACTGGGCAGGCCTCGCAGTGTCCAAAAAGGCTCCTCAGCCCGGATGTGCAAAGCCAGGGCTAGCAGATCTTCACCGGCACCCTCACCTGTGACACCTAGATGCACCCCAGTCCCAGATTCCAGGCAGCATTCTCCCCCATGCCGTCCAACGACCAAAGGCCCTGCCAAGTATGGGCCACAGCAGCAGGTGTGTGTGAAAGCGATGTGGCGACCCGCGGACTGCAGTGTGCTTAACCAGCTCACCTCCCTTCTCTTAGCCCAAGCCTGTCCCTTGCACAAACCACATTACCTGGTGGGGCCCAGTGTATTAAATAAAGTCGTTACAATAGACTCTGGCGTCTGGGCCTCTGTCTCTGGTGCTGGGAGGGGAGAGGAGCTGCAGGCCCTGAATCTGAGGCAGAGCGCAGGCCTCGTCTGTCCTCTAGAGGGCACTCTTGTGCCAGCCAGACTGCTCTCGCCCTCAGCCCAAGACCCAGCCTACAAGTAGATACAGAAGATGGTGTTCATGTCCAAACCACAGGAACTGAGGGTCCCAGCCCTGCACATACAGCACATACACAAAAACCCATGAGTGAGACCACCTCAAATGAGGGGAGCAGCTCTTGAAGTCAGAGGCTCTTAAAGCTTCCACATGGGTGAGAAGCTCAGGAACTTCTTAAAATGTAGTTCCTAGGGCCTACACTTAGATATTCTGACTAATCAGTCCTCCATTTTAAACCTGTATACTTTGGGGGGGGGGTAGCGGGGGAACACTAACCTATATGATCCAACAACCCTACAAAGTGTGTAGGTATTTTTATTATTCACCTTGGAGACGAGGAAATAGAGCCACAGAAAGGTTATGTAATTTCCCAAAGCTCTGCTCTTTACTAGCTAGAATTTGGACCCAGGCAATACAGCCCTAGAGCCTAAATTTTTAGCCACTGTACAAACCCTCAAAAACCACTGGCCTTGAGCGGTAGTTCCTAATCAAGGCCAGTTTTGCCTGTGGGACACATGTGATGTCTGGAGACATTTGGTTGTTACAACTGGTAGTGAGATGCTACTGGCATCTGGGCAGAGGCTAGAGATGCCGCTCTAAATATCCGCAACAAAGAACTATCTGGCTCCAAATGTCTCTAGGTTGACAAACCCTGACCTAGAGCACAGGGCCGTTAGTCCCAGCTGCACAGTAAAACCAGAGCTTTCCAAACCCCGGCGCCCAGGCCGTACCTCAGATCCATGGAATTAGAATCAGGAGGAACAGAACTCGAGACCTCAGCATTTCTGAAAGCTCCTGGCGACTTCGGGGCTGAGGACCCCAGTCTTGGAAGCAGCTGTCCTCCTTACTCCTCGCGCCTGGCAGTGTGGTGTACAGGGCGTGCACTGGGACAGGACCACAGGCCTCCAGGTCATCTTGCTCCCAAACGCCCATGCAGCTACTGGTCTGTATGCTTTTCCTGCTCCCTCCGTGAATCTGATGAGGGTGCGTCCCTCCCCCTTCTGCAACTCGTCTGCAGAAGAATATTCTCAGGGTACTTTTCCTGTTAAGTGAGGAATCCTGTTCCCCGGCCCTCCCAACCCACTGCTCCCACACAGCACAGACCTCAGGAATGGGAATAGAAATGACTGACTTTAATTGAGCTGCGATGAAATGAGCCTCTTTTGGAGGCCAGGTGGGGGTGGGGAAGCCCTGCAGCAGCTAGGGCACACTCCTTCAGGCACCGCTGAAGCAGACGGCTCAGAGAAGCCACTGGAAAGGTGGAGGGAGGGGGCGGTGGGACTCCCAGCTTCCCCTGAGTGGGTGAAAGTGGCTTCTAGACAGCACAGAGCACCAGCCCCAGGCAGGTATGGGATAGGCCTCCATGCCTCGCAGCAGCCCCATGACCACAGGATGGCCCCATCCCTTCTTGGTCCTCTTCTTCCTCCTGCCCCATAGGGGGTAGAGGTCCCTGAGCACATACAGCCCAGCCGTTGCCCGAGCTGGGTCAGACAGCCAAGCAGGAACTTAGAACCCAGTGACGCTCCCGGCTCAGCCTCAGAAGGCTCCCACTCTGCCTGCCATCTGTCCTCCAGGCTGCGCCCCGGAAGGCACAGCAGCAGGATGAGGGACTGGCAAAGGTGGCTCCTGGCCAGGGCTGCAGACGGTGTCGTCAGCAGGATGGCCTTGCCGTGCCCACCTCTCACACCATCTTAACCTCCAGGGTTTGGGCCCGTGACAGGTTCTGGCGCTGGGCTTTGACCATGTGCAGGCGCCTCCCGTGCAGCGTGAACTGGGACCACGTGAACAGCTGCAGCAGGGCACAGGTGATGGGCACCAGCACCAGCAGGTAGAAGCAGCCCTGGCGGAGCGATGGGGCCTGCGCCGGGGGTGGGGCCGGGGGCTCTGGCCAGGGCTGGGCGCTCCCCACAGGGGCCAGCGGGGGCTGCTGGAAGAGATCGTGACCTAGGACAAGAGAGCATGCAGAAAGAACGAGGTCAGCCCTGGTCTCCTCCGAAGTCCACAGTGCGGCGCCACATCTCAAATGACACACGTGTACATCTAAACCACAATTCAACTCCTCTCCAAACGCACTTCTCTGCTCTTCCCTTCTCGGTCACCGGTACCACCGTCCACCCCAAAACCTCAAAGTCTTCCTGGATTCCTCACTTAACCTCACCACTCCCCAACAGCCAATTCTTCACCTCCCCCCAGTTCCAAAACACATCCTGTACCCGGACACCTTCTCCCGGCCCCCCTAGCACTGCTGCTGCGAGCTTCCACCGCCTCTGCCACAGCTCCCCACAACCCATTCTCCATACAGCAGTCAGGGTGATCTTGAAAAAACATAGATCATACCACGTCACCCCCCCTGCTTAAAACCCTCGCAAATAGTCTCCCTTCACACCGAGGATAAAATCCAAACCCTGCCCTGATTTACAGAGCCCTGTTACTTTCCCAGCCTCATCTCCTAACCACTCCTGATACCTTGGGCCTTTGCACTTGCCTCACCTTCTGTCTGGGATTCACCGAGGTCTTTCGAGACCAAATCCTTGCCCTTCAGTCCACATCCTGGGTGTCATCTTAGAGAGGCCTTCCTGGACCACACTAAGTAGCTTCTCAGTCACACTGTCCATTGTACCATCCTCTTACCACTACCTGCTACTTTCTCATTTCACTGTTTATTGCCAATCCCATCCCCCCCCCGACTAGAATAATAATTCCACGATGGCAAGGCCATTGTTGTCTCCCTTGAGGGACCGGGACCAACTCTTGGCAGAGAAAGTATTCGAAACACATTTGTTGAATGAATGAATGAACTATTGAAAGACTGGAAGAACTGGAACACTCAGTTCCTCTACCCATGTAGGGAGGGAGGAGTGGCCCAGGGATAGCCTCTATCGGCCAGCTGCCATCCTCTCTCCCTTACTGGACCCAGTTTGTCGGCTGGTGTGCTAGGTAACCTTTGACCCCGGGAGCCTCAAGAGCCCTGTGCCAGCTCCCAGAGCCCTCACCTGTATAGAAGCACAACAGCCAGGTGCCCAGCAGCGGGGCAAAGGTCTGGCCTGGCTTGGTCACCAGGGCCACCATGCCAAACAGAAGAGCTGAGGCCGCCTGCTTACGGTGGTTCAACACCAGGTCCTCGTCCACCAGATCTGTGACCACCAGCGTCAACAGCTTACATGTGCCCTCAGTGAAGACACGGTTGCTGCCAGCATAGAGAGAGAAGGGATGAGAATGAAGGGGTGGCACAGAGGCACAAGGGTGAGGGAGGGCAGCGTGTACCTGGCAATGAAGAGGCAGAGCAGGCCAGGGCGGTCAGGGCCAGCCAACAGCATGAGCAGGCTCAGGCCCAGCTTGAGCAGGAAGAGCCCCCGCACCACAGCATAGACGCCCCAACGCCGGCACAAGGGCAGGAAGTAGAGGTTGTTGAGGTGGGGAGCAACATAGGAGATGCCTGGGCAGAAAGAGTGCAGCCTTGTCAGGGGCCACTGCCACAGCGTCCACAATTGTCCGCAACTTGGGGGAGCCTGGGCAGCTCAGTCGGTTGAGCGACCGACTTCGGCTCCGGTCATAATCTCACAGCGCGTGGGTCTGAGCCCTGCATCAGGCTTTGCACTGACAGCACAGAACCTACTTCGGATTCTCTGTCTTCCTTGCTCTCCACCCCTCCCCTCTCAAGTACTCACTCTTTCTCTCAAAAATAAACATTAAAAACATTTTTTTTTAATTATCTACATCTTAACAACCAGTTGGCATTGACTGAACACTGGTGAGTGCCAGGCTCTGTGCTAAGAGCTTCACATCCTTTTCTTTAATCCCCACAACCCTTTAGGGTAAGTACTATATTATCCCTACTTTATAGGTAACAAAGGAGGCCCAAAGAGTTTAAATAAAACACACCCAAGCCTACACAGCAAAAAAGCAGAGAATAAGCAGAGTCAAGATGCACACCCAAGCCTGTTGGCCTGTAATCCTTGCTGTTAAATAGCTACCGTGGGTGGCACCCTGAGAACGGGCCCACCCCACTCACACCCACAACAGGCCCTGCCCCTTCCTCCCGAAATGGAGGCCTTGCAGCCCCACAGAGGCCTCTGCCCCTGCCAGCCAGGCCCCAGCGGGGGAGGGAGCTGTGTCTGCAGCTGGGGGAGGGGTTCTGGGGTGCAAGCTTCGGTCCCTCCTGCCTGCACAAGGCACCCACTCACCCAACAAGAAGGAGCCCGTGGACAGGGAGATGTGATCCGACAACAGATGCTCCAGGAAGAGGGGGAAGAAGTTGCTGTTGAAGTGGCAGTGAAATACCTGCAAGCCGACAGGGGCAGGGCGGAGGCCGCTGGGCCAGGCAGCAAGGGCAAGAGCAGACTCTGTCCCCGTGTCCCTTCACCTGGAGCATGCCAGAATCAAACCCCAAACCAAATTCCTATTGCTTATCTAATTTTGCTAAAAGGTAGAAGGAATGCTAAGATTCTTCGTGGAACGATTAAGATTTTTTTCTCTTTAATTGAAAATACTCGAATAAAACAAGCCTGACGATATGAACACCATCTGTGACTAAGTTGGGCTAGCCTCTACACCGCATGTTTTAGCTAGGGCACTCAGTGTTTGAAGACGACTGTCACAGAGTTCCCAAAAGGGCACCCCTTTATCATATCCTCCCTTTGCAGGTGAGGACACCCACGTCTGCCCCGACAGGCCTGCCCAAGATCACACAGGGCGTTAGAAGTTCTGATGGCACTGGGATCCAGGCCTCCCGACTACCCGACCTGTGTTCCCGCTATCCAATCACCCAGCGCTTCTCATACGAGGCCCAGAACTGCTTCCCCGGCTTTCAAGGAGCCTGTTCCCTCGAGTGAAGTGCAGCCTAGCCGTTGGGCAGACGACTGCTCCCATACCTGCACCAGATCCATGCCCACGAACCACAGGAAGTTCCGGTGGCGTGCCAGCTGCTGCAGGTACTGGCCCAAAGTGATGCTGGCTGCCTCCCTGCAGCCCGCAAAGAGCTCGTCTCCACATAGGCTACAGGGCAGAGGGGAGTCACCAATGGGCCACAGCCACCCGCCACCCCAGGCCAGCCACCCATCAGCCCGGGCCCTCAGTGTTGACCTCACACTCAAAAGAGTGCTGGCAGGAACCAGGATAGCTGGACCGGGCCACTCACCTGCCATCCGCAGCCAGGGCTGAGCACTCCGGCTCCCTGCCGGCCGCCTCAACCCGCCGCCTAAGCAGCCGTGTGGCCCCCACAAAGCCCAGCCCGGAGCCAGTGGCCAGTGCCACGCAGAAGGTGCGGAAGGAAGAGAAGTCTTCCTTGTTCCAGAAGGCATAGGAGGCAAAGACAGAGAGGGAGCCAGCCGCACTGAAGAGGGAGCAGTAGAAGTTGAGATGGGTACGGTCGTGGGCAGAGAGGGCCAGGTCAGCCAGCAAGGCATGATGGTGTAGGTCCACGAGAGTCAGGAAACCATCATAGAGACACAGGCACAGCAGGAACTGCAGGCCAGCTGGGGCCCAGGGCACCCAGAATGCCAGGAATGACACCGCCAGCAGTGGCCCGTGCCAGCCCAGGGCCCGCACCCGTGCCAGCACCACGGCCCTCGAGGAGAGCCCGGCACCCGACCTGCCAGAGAGAGGAGGAAAGTTGGGGGATGTTTTTACAGACTTGGCAAGCGCCAGGCCCCCACCCCCGCCCCTCTTCCCCTGGCCACCCAGGCCCCAGAGGAAGCACAGAGGCCCAGAGTATGGAACTCACACCAGGGTGGTCCCACTGAGCCCTGATTCAGGAAGCACAACTGTCCAGGGTGTACACGCTTTTGTCTGGTCCCTTGCCAAGCCTACCAGGGCTGATGGCCAAAGGGTGGTGGGACACCTATTTCTCAGGCTTGGGGCCAGTGGTGGGCCCAAGCAGGATGGGGTAAAGGAATCAGCCAGAAAGAACAGAGAGTGTTGGCTGTACAGCTCCCAGTTCTAAGGACCTGACAAGGGTGGGGTGGGGTAAACCTCTCCCCACGTGAGCAAGGCAACAATTAGTCAAGGCCACTCTCCCACACGGAGAGAGACTAACTGACCTTGGGAAGGGGGCCTGGTCAAAACCTGAAAATGGTCTCCCTTTTCTCTCCCACCCCGAACATGGGCACCCCTGGGCTGGAGCGGGGAGCAGGATGGCATAGGACCCGTTGTGAGCCATCCGCAGGGCACAAACCGAGGTTGGGAGCTGAGGAACTGCCGGTCACTCAACCAGCCGAAGAGGGGGTCATTGAGGCTGTTCCAGAGGAGAAACACCGTCTGTGGGCAGAGGGGAGATGGCGCAGGTGGGCTCCAAGCAGCCTCCTCTTCTCCAGAGTTTTCCCTACGCAGCCTGCTCACCACCTAAGACGAGCCCAGCTTTCCTGCCTGCAAACCTTTGCTCAGGTCAGTCCCCCTGCTAAAACCCACTCTATCAACCACAGCCCCCTCCAAGTCCCACCCATCCAGGGCAAATTTATCCAGCTGGTAAATTAACATTCATCAAAACTCCAGCTTTTCTTGTTGAATTGAGGTGGGCCACCTGGCCTGCCCCCAGCTCCAGACTAAGTGGGACCCAGCCCTGCAACCCGCCCCGGTTCCCACCCAGTGCCTGCTGACCTACCTCTCCAACCCAGAAGGCAGTCTTGTTGATCTTGTACACCGAGACAAAGGTGTCCACATAGTAAAGCAGGAACACATTGTGCAGAACGGAGATGAAGAGAGCCAGGGAGCCATAGACCACGGCCGTAGGCAGGTGCAGCATCCAAGCCTGGAGCCTGCCCAGCCCCATGGCTACCAGCTCAGCCTCAGCCCCAGGGGCACCGAGGAGCACTCACAGCCAAGGGCAGTCTGGCCATCCTTGTCCCTGGGGAAGAAGGAGCCTGTTAGCTGCAGGGATCAGAGCCAGCTCTGCTCCCAACCCCAGACCTCTGAGTCATTTAAAAACTCATTTCCCCTGGGAGAAAGTTTGTACATAAAAACCAAGCTGGGGAGTCATCAATGACTGTACAGCTGAAACGGTGCTGGGCTGGATACCACTGAGGGTAACCCAAGAAGACTGACAAAGGCATGGGAAAAGAAGTGCTGAGCCAGGTCACGTGCTAGGGAAGTATGCTCAGTATCTTCTTTCATCCGCACTATCTTGTCACACAGACCTTCACAATCTGGATGTGATAACTGTGGGCCTAGGCACCTCATAACCCTCAGGCAAGCTACTTGACCTAAGCTTCAGTTTCCCCTTCTGTAAAAGGGCAAAGGGGATGATCATGCCTACTCTGCAGGGGAAGGTAAGGGTCAAGTGAGGAACTCGTGGGAAGTGCTCAATAAATGGATGGTGGCAGTGTCATGATTATCTTTATAAAGTCCATACAAAATTTATAGCATGATTACAATGTTACAGAAGAGCAGCATCAAGCTCAGAGATGTTAAGTAGTTTGCCCAACGGTATACAGCAAAAAAGTAGGAGGTTTGAACCCTCACTTGTCTGGCTCGAAAGTGACCTTCCAAATCAGGTTCCTGTGCACTGCTGGGTAGAACAGAAAAAGTTGCCATGATGTCAGGTTCCACAGGTATAGAAGAGTGATAAGATCTGGTAAGAGTCCACACTTACTCATGCACTTTGATTCTGGATATGCTACCTCAGGGAACTAAGCCCAAAGGAGTATGTACAGAAACGTTCATGGTTCATGGCAACAACAGTAGTAAACAGCAAAAAGTTGGACACGGCCCAAGACCCAACAAAGGGACTGGCTCATTAAGGCCAATGCTTTCCAGAAATGGCAAGCACGTGGGCCACCTTGACACGCAGGAGAGAAACTCAAGAACATGTTACATGAAAAGAGAGAACAAAGCACAGCATGGTTGCCTGTCTTCCAACCAGGCTGATTATCCAGAGGCGGGAAGGACAGACTGGCCATGAGTGGGAAGGAAATAAAAGTCAGATTTTTACTGGAGCGGCCTTCTCACACTGGAATGAGCTTTCAAGCCACTTGGCACTTCATCAAGATTTTTGACTCAGGAGGTCTGGGGAGGAATCTGAGATTCTGCATTTCTAAAGGGCACCCAGGTGGCGTCAATGCTGCTGGGCCATGACCATACTTGGAGCATCGAGGCATTAAGTTTGGCCATCTCTTTTTTTAGATTCAAAGCTGCTGTTCTCTTTTCAGAATAACCCTGTGTGTGTCTGATCCCCCAGAAGGAAGCTATAGGACTTCTTTCTAACTCCCTGTTGCAAGTTAAATCATGTCCCCCCAAAAGATATGTTCAAGCCCTAAACCCCAGTACCTGTGTGACTTTATTTGGAAACAGGTTCTGTGGAGACGTAACCAAGATGAGATCAGAGTGAATTCGGTGGGCCCAAATGCAGTGATGGGTATCCTTACAAGGAGAGGAAGGAAATTTGGACACAGAGACAGAAACACACAGAAGAAAGACAGCCATGTGAAGGCAGAGGCAGAAACTGGAGTGATACAGGTACAAGCCAAGGAACGCAAAGGGCAGCAGGCAACCACAGGAGCTAAGAAGGAAAGATTCTTCCCTAGCACCTCTGGAGGGAGCATGACCAACCAGAGTTGTTACAGATGGTGAGAGAATAAATTTCAGTTGATTTAAGCCACAGAGTTCCGAAGTAATCTGTTACTGCAGCCCTCTGAAATTTACACATACCCTCAGGGGCCGTTCCTCTTAGAGCCCTTGTGACCCAAGCCTAAACTGGGCATGATCTACATATTGGTATAGACACACACACAGCTGAAACTTCTGCTTCCCATCATGGTCAGGCCCTGGAGAGCCAATTTCTGCTTCAGTCCCAACAGTAGTGACCCCCAGGACCTGTCCTTGCCCCATGACCCACTATGGCTCCCCCTCTATCCCCACCCTTCCCGGGTCTCTGCGGTCTGGCTTCTCCCTGCCTGTCTAACCTGGCCTCTCTTGAGTCTTCAAGTCACCCTCTCCTCTGGCCAGATCTTTGTCCTTGGTGGTACCCCTGCCAGAAGTGACCTCCCATCTCTGCATCCTTCAAGAGACCGCACCGTATCCAGACTTTCTCCAGTCCCTCACGAATGCCTCCTACCCAGACTCTCCTGCCTGCCTCCACTCCAACCCAACTGTCAGTTTTGGAGGGCAGGGCCTGTGTCTTTGCCATCTCCCTCGGTGGGCCGGACTCCACCACTCTCGGCTAGAGAAACAGGCGAGGAGGGAATAAGTAAGGAATCTCAGTGGGGCTTCTCAGGCTCAATGGAAAATGAGGGCAATTCATTCAAGAGATCCAACCTGGTGCTAGTCTCTGCCTAGTGGTGCGGAACAAGGGAAGGAAAGGCAGCTGGAAGACCAGCCATGTCTGTGAGACTATCTCCCGGGCTACAGTGGTCCTGCTTTGGTGCAAAGTGGAGATGGCCAGGTACCCTCTCGCTGGGGCTCTTGAGCCCCTTGAAGAAACATTTGTTGGGAAATGTTTTGTGTGGTTTTTTCCCCCCACAGCTTTCTTGAGGTATACTTGATACACAATGATCTGCATATATTCAAAGTGTACCGTCTGATCAGTTTAAACATGTTTGCACCTGTGAAACCACTACCACAACTGACCTCAGGAACATATCCATCACCCTAAAAGTGTCCATGGCACTTTCTAAGGAATACAGCAGAAAGAAAACACAATTGAGGGTCTCATAAGCTCTGACTCTACCATTTACTACCTGCAGGACCTGGAGCGATTTGCTTAAACTCGCTATGCCTGTTTCTTGATATCCAATGTGGTGCCAACTATTGTTTGCAGTCTAGGGGAAATTATTCCAAAGCCCTTAGCACATAAGTGTGGTGAACACTCAAACTTCAGAGATTACTGCTATTGAGCCTCTCAGGACCTTCTGAACCCCACACAAGGATGGGGTGAGTATTTAAGTAGGCTTCACACCCAGCGTGGAGCCCAGCACAGGCTTGAACTCACAACCCTGAGATCAAGACCTGAGCTGAGATCAAGAGTTGGACGTTCAACCAACTGGGCCACCCAGGTGCCCCAAGGATGGGGTATTAATTTAAAGGTGCTTTGGGGTTGTAAAGCACAGTATCTACCTCTGTTGCTATCCTTAACCCTGGTCACTTTCTCTGAAACCCCTCCCCCGCCCCCTCCACCCCACCCTACCTCCAAAGCCTTTGTCCAAAGGGAGTGAAGCCTCCCAGGCCCCTACCCAGATCTCCAGTGACCTGCCCTTGTTGCTAGAAGGTGAAGCCTGCAGGCAAGTTCCCAGTCTCCACCAGCTGGCTCCCTGCTATAAGGGGAGAAGAAAACATCAAGAGGGTGTTGAAGTGGGAGGGAAGGGTGTGACTTTTGCCACCAGAAGAGGCAGAGTTTAAATCCCAAAAGCACTTCCTACTAGTAATGTAACCTCAGGCAAGTCACTTAACCTGTCTGAGCCTTGGTTTCCTCACTTGTAGAATGTGAATAATAATATCCATCCTTTAAAGGAATGCAGTAAGGATTAAACTCATGTCCAGAAGCCCAGAGCACTGTTACATGGAAGATGTTCAGAAACTGGCTTTTCTTGGGCTCACTCATAAAAAATCGGAGTAGGAGCAGGGGAATATCCTGGTAATCCAGCCCCTTCTCATGGTAAGGGAATTTGGGAGAAAAGACAGAGCACACAAGGTAAGTCAAAAGAAGAGTCTAGGGGCACCGGGTGGCTCACTGGGTTAAGCGTCAGCCTCTTTAGTTCAGCTCAGGTCATGACCTCATGGTTCGTAAGACAGAGCCCCTTATCCTACCTGGGATTCTCTCTCTCTCTCTCTCAAAAGAAATAAACTTAAAAAAATAAAATAAAAGGTTAAGAGGAGGAGAGTCTACAAGTAGCAGGAATATATGCAAAATTCAGGAGTGCCAGACACAGGCCAAAGGTGGAAGCAAAGCAACCGGTCCAGAGGAGCCTCGGCCTAGAAGAGGGGTTGGGGAAGGAGCGTCAGGGGTCCCCCCAGCAGTTTCCCTTCCAGATTCTGCTCTTCCCTCAGGAAATACCTTCTCCTGCTCACCCTCCCCACCCTCAATACGCCCCAGCAGAGAACAACAGCCCTGCCTCTCCAGGGGAGGAACAGCCTGGAACCCACACCAGCTTAGTTGCATAACCCGGTGAAATATCCTGTAACCAACTCCACCCCTACCCTGGCACTGGCTGGAGAGCCTGGTGGAGGCCCCCAGAGCCTACCCCACCCCCATGCTAGTACGGCCCCGGTTATATGGCTCTGAGCCAGCCTCTCCTCCCGAGGCCCAGTCTTCTTATTTACAAAGTGGGGATGATAACGCCAGCCTCTCAGATGGCTGCAGGGCTGAGAAGCAAAAGGTATATAACACACCAAGCACAGAGCCTGGCACGTGCAAGATCAATACATAGCTCCTGTTATTTTTCTTCATATCTCTGATCTTTAAAGGTTTCAGTCAGCGTCCCCGTCTGTCAAATCCGTGATTGGTCTTTCTAGCACCCAACACTGACACCTCTTGCTGCCATCCCTCAAATTCTCTTTTAAATGCCACCTCCGCACCTTTGTTCATGCTGTTGCTTCCACCTAAAATACCCAAGATGTAACTACATATTATTTCTCAGGCATCTGGGTACGTCTGGCTTTTACATCCATCACAAGAAGCCTTACAACTCCTGTTACTATTCCCATCTCGTATGTGAAGAAACCAAGACTCTGAAGGTTAAATAACTGGCCCCAAATCACAAAGCTATTAGGTTTTGGAGCAAAGATTCAAAACAGGTGTTTTTGACTAGAAAATCTCAGCATTTCTCAAGTCACTGTGCCCAAACCCACCACCATCTTATCAAATACTGCTGATTCAAGGCCCAGTTCTGTGGCATGACCTTCCCGAGCCCACCTACTCAGGTGTTCTCTCCCCTTTCAGGTCCCTTGGCTTCTTTATCAGGATCCAAATACCTCCTGTACCCTCCCTCCAGCACCTAAACTGCTTGAGAGCAGGGCCAGGTCAGACCCGTTTTCTACTCCCTGCCTCCACAGGCTTCTCCAATTAAGACCTGCTGGGTCAATTTGCCCTTAACAGACCGATAAGGGCATCCCCAGGTCTAGGGAAGAGAGCAGCCATAGGAGTGCCACCCCCAAATACCACTATACCCCTCAGCTCTGCCTGGCTGTGGGAATCAGAAAAAGGCAACCTGGGGAGCAGTGATGCACCCTGCCGATAAAACCAGCAAAGCAACTGGTACACAAAGAGAAGTAGTGATAGCAAAAAGTAACATTTATTAATCTTGTACTGTGTGCTTAAAAAGCAGATACAGTATGGAAAGAGAGCTCAGAGCAAGGAGGTAGAAAGACACCAGATCAGGATGGGTTTTGTGGACTACACACAGGATTCTATCCTGAGGACAATGGGGTGGGGGACCCTGGGGGAAGTGCGATGACAGAACCAGATCTGTTTGGAAGGAATTCCCTGGCATAAAAACTCTCTCATCTTGACCTATGGGGCCTCTGGAAGAGAAAGAACTAGAAAGAATGGAAACCGGAGCAGCTCCCTGATTTCTGAATCTAAAGTGGGTAGGGGCCTGGTGGATTTGGTGGAGGAAACCAAGAATGCCAGACTGGGCCCCTAGAGTGAGGGGCATGGGGAGGCTGGGTGTTGATTCCCTTCAAAAGGACTAGTGACTGCAGGCAAAGCGGTTTAATGCTGAGGGAAAAGGCTACTCACAAGCATAATTTGGAGTTGGGAACCCTGAGTCAAGTCTGAACATTATTCACTACTAACTAGCTATCTGAGTTTATTTCTACGTCTGTGAAGCAGGAGAAAACAATCCCATTCGCTACCGGTCCTGGGGGGGGGGGTATCAAATGAAATTGAAAGGTATAACATCCTATGCAAATATTAGGTGTCCTTTTCTCAACAAGCAGCTGACCTCTGAATTGTCTGCTGCGTTTTCTGTTTCACAACCACTTTGCCTCCCTGCCCCGTCTCCCCAGAGCAGGGTCCAGCCCTAGCAGAAGGACCTCCCGGGGGAGGGGGGGGGAACACTCTCCATTCCAAATACTCATGGGCCTATTCTCTGACTCAGGCTGGAAATGAACTTTCACCTTACTGGGGAAGAGACCTTCCTCCTCTCCCTCCCCAACAGGTAACTACAGCAGCCACTTCACCCTAGGACCACCTGCCCCTCCCAAGCCACTGAGCAGTCGGGCTAACCCAGAAACTGGCACTGAAACATGTGGTTCTCCATCCCGTCTGTAAATTAAAATCACCTGAGGAGCTGCTTGATCTCGAGGCCCAAGCCTCACTCCTGACCAATTTAATCGGAATTTCCAGGGACGGGGCCCAGCATCAGTGTTTTTTTAAGGCTCCCCAAGTGGTTCTACTCTGGCAGCAAGGTTAAGGGCCATTATGTTAATGAAATGGATCCCAAACCTGATGTATCCCGCGACCTCAGTTCCCCCGCCCCCCAAGGGGGCCCTTCTGCAAAGATTCCACCCTCACCCCTTGGGCCCAAGCTTCTCCCACCCTGACCCTGGGGCTCTCCCATCCCATAACCTCATCACTTCAGGGACCCCCCGCAGACAGCTCCCTGGACTCTCAGAGCAGACAGCATTCCTGTCCCCCTCGGGTCCGTTCTTTGTGTGTGACCGGCCCCCAGTCCGGCCCGCTCCTGCCCCCGCGCCCGGGCCACGGGAGAACCCCTCACCGCAATCGTGGCAGGCGAAGCCTTATCCCGCGGCTGCCTGGAGCCAGGTGCGAGCCAGTGCGCCTGCGTGCTCCCCGCCGGCGGCTTCCCCAGCCTCTCCCTCCGCCCCCGCGCGGCGATTGGCTCCGTGCGGCTCCCGGGACCGCGCCCCGGCAGGTGCCCGCGCTCGAGGCTGCCGCCGCCATATTTGTCACGGGCGTTTGCCCTTAGGGACTGAAAAGAAAACGTGGACGCTGGCAGGAAGAGAGCAGTTGGCCTAGGTTTCTGACAGTTCACCCCTTCTCTTTCAGCTCTGTGAAAGCTTAAAGTCAATTTCAGTTCAAATCAACAAGGCTTTTCTGAGCGCTCCCCTTCCTCTCTCCCGTCCTTCCTTAGTTTTAATTCACGGAACGGAGAGCACAGCACCTTCCTACAAGCCTTGTGATCTGACTAGATGCACAGCTCGGCAGGTGAGATGACAGTGGTACGACCTGGGACTTCCTGATGCTGGACTGTGAGCCCCTCATGAGTAGACAGTCCCAGCTTAATAATGTACGGCCACCGGGGCTCAGGCCGCAGGTGCCAGGCCCCGGAGAGTAACCATGCAACCCAACTTCCTCGTATCAAAAATAGTAATGATAAGGGCGCCTGGGTTGTTCAGTTGGTTGGGCCCCACTCTTGATTTCGGCCCAGGTCATGGTCTCCTGGTTCGTGGCCCCACTACAGGCTCTGTGCTGACAGGGTGGAGCCTGCTTGTGATTGTCTCTCTCTCTCTCTCTCTCTCTGTTCCTCCCCCACTTGTGTTCTGTCTCTCTCTCTCTCTCTCAAAATAAATAAACTTTAAAAAAATTGTAAATAGCAATGATAAAATATAAGGTGTACTGAGCTCTCACTATGTCCCCTGTACTGTGTTAAGCACTCTACATGCATTATGTTGTTGAGTCCTCACATCATCCCTGGCAGGTTGGTGATATTATCCGCACTTGACAGATGAGGAAACAGAACCAGAGAGATTCAATGACTTTCATACAAGTAAGAGGCCCAGACCACCTGGAGCCCAGCTCTCCTGACTTTCAGAACATGAGTCTTTCCTCTTCCTACCACTGCCCAGGCCCTAAAGTTTTGTTTTGCTCAGTCCAGTTTGGTGAGGATGTCCCATGCCTTCTCCAATAAGCCTATAAACCTGGGTAGGTTTCCAGGCAATCAAACAGCACACACTTCAGACCTACTCTTTTCCTATGGAGTGATGAGCATGGCCTTTAGCTTCTGGGGGACCTGGGGCTCAGTCCTCTAGCTCCACTTCTTTAAGGGACCCACCTTTTGTGAGCCTCTGTTTTATGCCTTAGAGGGATTTTGTAGGCATTTATGAGAAATGGAAGTGTGCTTTGCAGGCTTTTGGCTCCTCAACAGACTTGATGATTGTCAGCAGGGAAATCATCCAATTCCTCCTGCCTGACGACCTGGCAAAGGGCCCACCCACAGCAAAGGGTCCAACACAAGAGCCCTGGTGTGCAGGGATTAGAGGAACCCCAGGAGTCTCATGAACTTTGCTGCCAGCACCCACCTCTCACCAATCTGTCTCATTTCCCTCCTCCCTAATCCTGCCACTTCAAGCCCTCTTCTTACCTCCTATGTATTCCCTAAACCACACACATCATCTCTCTTCTGGATTTCAAAGCAATTTCTGGAACCCATTCTGCTCCAGAAAGCCCTCATGACTAAAAAGAATGTGACCATTATCCCCCATCCCAAGCCCATAACCCCATCTATGCTTTCCTGGATGAGAATACAAGGCAGCATTCAGCATGGTGTCTGGTACACTACGGCCTCCATAAATTGACTAAAGTTGTTCCCCTTTCTATCTCAGACCAGTATGTGCCTTTGTTGCAAAGCAACCCTGACTCTTTACTTAGCCTTCCCTGGGTGTCCAGTGGGGAAACAGGGGACCAGGTAGTGCTGCCACAGGGCCAGAACTTAATGTGACCGAACAGGAAAAACATTGGCCTCTATGTTGCACTTAATGTCCCGTAGTTACACTGAGGTTTCTCATCCCTCTGATTTTATAGACGATGTAACCAGTTACCCTCTTGTGTCAGCACCAGAACTGGGTCTTGTAATTACCTCGGATTTCCCTTCCTGGTTGGCAACCAGAGCTGACTAGGAGGAGACATAGGGGTGCAACTAGGGAATCATATCATCTGCCTGGATTCTTGAGTCGTATCAGAGTCCTTGAATTGTGGGACAAATAGATACATAAACACTCTCTCTCCTTGAAATTTTGTCCTCCCTTGGCTTCTGACCTCTCCAAGCTAGGGTCCATCATGTTCTCTTCCTATCTCATAACTCCTCCTCAGTCCCCTTCTCTGGGGCACCTTTCCCCTGAGGCTTTCTAAAAGCAGAGGGCAGGTCCCCAAGTTTCCATTTTCAAAACTCTTTTCATTTATTCTCTCAAACTTGCCAGGCCAGGGTAAAAGGGACCTCAAAAACAAGACTGCTGCCTTCAAAAGGAGAAGTGGAACCCAACAAATCAGCAGCCATGATGACAAAGTGACGTGTGGGCCAGGGAGCAGCTGTTCCCGTCCTTCACCTATTATTTTTCCCTCCATGACTACCCCACCTCCCGTCTCCAGGCTGAATACAAAACTGCCTGTCGGACAGCGCAACGGAGCCAAAAACGTGTGCATCCTCCTCTGTTCTACCCTCTCCACCCAGGCAGTTACATGGGATCAACTCTAGCTGAATCTCCTCCCATCTCTTTTCCAACTCCTATTCCTGTTTTGGTTGTCAGTTTTCCTGGGCTAGCGTGACAACCTCCTCCAAGACTGGCTTCCAGCCTCTCTCTCACCACTCCATCCTCTACTTTGCACACAAGACAGCCTCTGATCATGGGGTTCACTGATCAAAAACCTCTCAGGTTGCTGTATTTTGAAAATTTTCATAAAGTGCTGGGGAAAACACTCGGGGCATATTGTCGAAGCAAGCACAACAGAAGGACTCCACTCCACAGTGTGAGAACCCAAACTTTTATTAATTTCCTAAGGACATAGGTAATGGTGCTTCGTAATTAAAAATAAAAGCCTATTTCATTACATCTTCTGTAGTTAAATTTATATAAACACAACTGGCTGTGTGGGGAAACAAACAAAAAGACTCCACTCAAGAGGCGCCTGGGTGGCTCAGTCAGTTAAGTGTCTGACTTCAGCTCAGGTCATGATCTCATGGTTCATGGGTTCAAGCCCCACATCAGGCTCTGTGCTGACAGCTAGCACAGAGCCTGGAGCCTGCTTCGGATTCTGTGTCTCCCTCTCTCTCTGACCCTTCCCTGCTCACACTGCCTCTCTCTCTCTCCCTCTCTCTCTCAGAAATAAATAAAACATTAAAAAAATTTTAAAAAAAAGACTCCACTCAAACCAGACCAAGCAAGAAAGGAATTTATTGGGGGGTATAAGGAGGTAGCATTGAATGAAGGTAGTCCAAGGTACAAAATCCAGTTAAATAAGTACTAGGAATGTAGTATACAACATGATTATAATGGACACTGCTATTATGCTGTATGGTATATTTGAAAGTTGTTAAGAGAAGAGATCCTAAGAGTTCTTATCACATGGAAAAAATGTTTTTTCCTCTATAAGACTGATGGATGTTAACTAAACTTCATGTGATAATCATTTCACAATATACATTCATTATGCCGTACACCTTACACTTATACATGTCAATTACATCTCAATAAAACTAGGTGGAGAAAAAAAAAATTTATTGGCTCATGTAACTTTATTTTTTTAATTTTCTTAACATCTATTTCTTATAGAGACAGAGAGAGACAAAGCATGAGCATGAGAGGGGCAGAGAGAGGGGGAGACACAGAATCTGAAGCAGCTCCAGGCTCTGAGTTGTCAGCACAAAGCCCGACTCAAACTCACAAACCACAAGATCATGACCAGAGCCGAATTCAGATGCTTAACGGACGGAGCCACCCAGGCGCCCCTTGGTTCATGTAACTTTAAAGTTCAGGGTTCAAATGATGTCATCAGGACTTAATTTCTCTCTGTGTCCCCTGGTTCCACTTCTTCTGTGGTGCCATGCTCAGGCAGGCCTTCACCTCTCCCCCCAGACTGCACACTTTCAGATTTCCACCCAGGGGAAAGAGAGCACTTCCCTCCACTCCAAGACAATAAAGTCCTGGGCCTGGCTCCCACTGGCCCAAACTGAGTCACGTGGCTACTCTAAACCATCCCTATGGCCAGATGGATGGCAGTGCAATTGAACTTGCCATAAAACATTCCTAACTTTAAGGGCAGAATAGAGCCAACTCCCCAAAAGCCACTTTGCTGAGTAGATAAGGTATAGAATCCCAAAAATCTAGGAGCTGTTACTGGAGTCAGGGTGAATGAATATTGAGAAACTCACAGTTTGGTCCTTATTTTTCACATTTTGACTGAACCATCTCCAGACCAGCAGAAGTCTTCAGGAAGCATGTAGGGACCAATTAGTAAAATACAGGCTTCTCATCCTCTCAAAACCCCAACTTGGGCTTGGTCCAACACTTTCCCCACTTCCCACCCAGATGAGACCAAATCCCCATGTGGAGGCAGGTGGAGAAAGGGGCTAGTCCCATAGGTCCCATCATTGAGCTCCAGGCTGGGGTGAGGTCAGTCTATAGGAAGTCCTGGACATTCTTCAAGCACTGAGATTTGGAGAGGGCAAAGTTGTAAATAGGAATGGGGAAGGATATTAATTTCCTATTGACACTGTAACAAGTTACTAAAAACTTAGCGGTTTAAAACAATACAAATTTATTATCTTACAGTTCTGGACCTTAGAAGTCAGCCTTATTAGCTAAATCAAGGTGTTGGCAGAGCTGCGTTCCTTTCTGGAGGCTCTAGGGAAGAATCCATTTCCTTGCCTTTTCCAGTTTCCAAAGGCTGTGTGCATTCTTTAGCTCATGACTCCTTTCCATCTTCAAAGCTAGCAATTCTGACTCTGACTCTTCTGCCTCCCTCTTCCACATTTAAGGACCCCTGTGATTATATTGGATCCACCTGGATAATCCCAGATAATCTCATTTTAAGGACAGCTAATTAAAAACCTTAATCCCATCTGCAACTGTAATTCCCCCTTGCCATGTAACATCACATATTCACAGGTTTGCAGGGATTAGGCTGTGGACCTCGAGGGGGGAGGCCTCTCCCAACAAAGACCACTGTGTTCTGGGATCCATTCTTAGGGTGCACAGAAGGTGAGGCTCCCTACTTGGAGCTCTGGGGTAGGGACTGTTAGGTAGATACCCCAGCCCAGTCCCAATAGCTGTCCTCACTAGGCCAAAGGCCCAATTACGACTTGGGAAAGTAGCTCACTCAGGAATATAAAAGTGTGACATCACCAAGGTGAGTGTAGAGAGCACCCCTCCCCAGAGAGGGATGCTGAGAACTTAGAGAACCTGAAGGGGTTCCTGCTGATGCTGCCTGAGTCAACAGAAGAGGAAGGAAAGTATGATGGCCTCACAGCCCAGCAGCTGAGAGAGGGTATCATAACCATTCAGCAACTAACACTGATCCCACTGGAGAAGAGAGAGGTCTGGAGGGCTGTGGCTTGCAGCCAAAGGAGACTGGAGCGTAGACAGGGCTTCACACCATCTGGATGAAACAATCCATCTGGCTTCATCCAAGTAGCTTCTGGGCTTTGGCCTTAATTGGACTCGGTTCAAATTCCACTCTGCTATTTAGACGGTGTGAACCCTGGAAAATGACCTAACTTCTCTGAGCTTCTATAGTCTTATCCATTAAACGAAAATGGTATCACCATGTTCTTCACATGGCTATTAAGAATTAGTCTTGGGGCACCTGGGTTGTTCAGTCAGTTAAGGGTCCAACTATTGGTATCAGCTCAGGTCACGATCTCAGCTCTGGTTGGTGAGATTTGAGCCCTGAGCTGTCAGCTCAGAGCCTGCTTTAGATTCTCTCCCCCTCTCTCAAAATAAACTTAAAAAAAAAAAAAAAACCACACACAAATAAAACAATGGATTCTTATGTAACATTCTAGAGGGGAGGATTGTGAGAAAGTGTGAAAGAAGCCCCAGCATGAATTGGCGATAAAGTTACTTAGCAATCACGAGTCTTGAGGCCACATGGGGTTGAATTTTGCCCTTATCATAACTAGCTGTGTGAGTCTGGGCAAGATACTTAACCCCCAAAAGCCTACAACACTGGGAGTGTTTCCTAGTCATAGAACACATTTCCCGTGTACCAAATCTGAGGCAAACCGCTTCCTGCTATATAAAGTGGGGAAAATATTAGTATCTTTTTCCTAAGGTTGATGTAACTTCTAGATGCTCATAAGCAACTTGATTCTCTGCCGGATAAGGGAACTTCACTCAAGTTAGGATAACTCAACCCATCTGGAGGTGCTGGGAGGATGGGGGGGTGGAGAACAGAGGGCCAAACTGATTGCAAGATACCTTCAGGGATGTAGTGGTGAGGGCATCCCTGAGCACAGGCCTCTAGGGCAGGCCAGTAGGACCGGCAGGCTCACCTAGTGTAGACACAGGCTGGCTGGCTTTTAGCCAGCAAAGTGTGTTTCCCTTTGCCTGGAAACCAGGAAGGCGTGGCTGAGGCAGGGCATGGAGAGGTGCCTGCTCTGAACCTCTCTGATTCCCTAAACGCTGGGGACCAGCAACCCCGGGGCTGAAGGAGACAAGCTGAGTGGGAAATCACCTGGAAAAACACTTCACGGCTGATGGCTTGAAAAGGCCTTGGGTCCTACTGCCTACTGGGAGCCTAGGGTTCGCGCCCAGCCCTGGGACAACAGGTGAGATGGACGCTGAATGCCTTAGGAAGAGTTCCCCCAAGCCACCATGCGCTGTGCATGGGCTCCTGCTGTGAACTAGAGCTCTGGTTTACCAGGCCCCAGGGACGGGTGGTGCAGGCAGAACAAAGGGTATCCACACACACTTCCCACCGCAGGTGTGGACGAGGCGCCAGTAAAAATGCCCGCTGCCTGAGCTTCATACTATGTACTCGTACAGCTGCCTGGAGCCCGGAACGGGCGTCTGGCCTCCGCTGCATCCGGTCACCTACTCCTACCTGTCCTGCCCTCTGCTGCTGCCCCCACTCCACCCCCACAGCTGCTGCAGTCGGCTCACGAGCCTGACCGCCGGCGAGTGGCCGGCTCCGCGGGAATACCACTGTTTCCACGGCCCAGGCGCGCCCCTGACGGCCGCGCTGCCCTCGTGGGCCTTCCCGCAGACCTACGCCGCGGGCCTGCGCCCGCCTTACCCTGCGCCCGGCTACCTGGGGCCATCCCTACAGGGGCCCGCGGTGGAGGGGACGGCGGCTGTCCAGCGCGGGGCGCCGTGGCCGGAAGGCAGCAGCTTGCAGCTCGAGCTGCGGTGGGGCCGCGTGGAGCGCGCTCTGGGCCCACGCCTCGAGCTGCCAGACGTGGTGCGCCGGGAGCTGCGGCGAGTGTACGGCACGTACCCGCGCACCGACGTGCGCGTCACCTACCGCGGCGGCGAGTTCCTGCTTCAGGCCGCGCCGCGCGTCCCCGAGCCCGGGTACCGTGTGCAGAGGCGCGTGCTACGGCCGCCCGCAAGTAGCTGCAGCGAAGACAGCCGCCCGGCCACTGAAGCGGCGGAGCGTGGCCGTCGGAGGAAGAGAAAAGGCCAGAGCTGAGGAGGCTGCAGGGTCCGGTGGCCGCAGGTGGTCTCCCCTGCGCGCCGCTGCGCGCCGCTGCCCACCCGCGACGAAGGAGGCCTCCACGGTTCGCAGGCGCTGGGTGCACCTGTCACCTCGCTTTTTGCTTTTTTTTTTTAACCAAGCCTGCACGTCGCCCACCTGCTGCACTTCCCTGATTTATGTTATTCCTGGATGGCGGGGGAATGGCGAGAAGAGATCAAGGACATCTCTTCTTGTTTCTCTTCCCTTCCACTTTGGCTTGGGAAGCCTGGGTGTGGGGTGGAAGAAGGGCCTGGACCCTTTGTTTCATCTCTCCCTCCTGCTCCCCGTCTTAGAAGCCTGCCCTGTACCAAGCCCCCACTTTCCCTTTTTCCTCTCCTCCCTCTACCAATGCTCCCAGAATTACCCAGGTTCCTTCCCAAGCTGAGAGCCCACCCATCCGCAGGTTGTAGTGAAAAGTAAATAAGTAAGTGAAGTCAAGTGTATGCTGCGAGATCATTTTTCTGTTTGGGGTGAGTGGGGGTGTTCCATTTGTGCAATGTGAGCCTTACTTCCCTGCCTCTGGAAGAGCCCGTGTGCCTCCTCTTGGGCTGGGCCTAGCTCCCTTTTTCAACAGCTCTTCTCCAGTGTGCGGGGAGGACACCCTCCTGGGCCCTGCAGCCAGCCAGGTCCCGTGGCCCACCACCCACGAAGGGGTTCTGAGAGCATAAGCTCTTTTCTTGAAGCATGGGTGGTAGGCGTGGCTGAGGAAAGAATGCCCAGGATGTAGATTTAGGGCTGTCACTGACATTTTCTAGTCATGCAACTAGGCTTTCTGAGCCTCAGTTTCTTCATCTTGTAGAAGCATAAAATCAACCTAGCCTACCTGGAGAATTCACTAGGGTTGAAATTTAAGATGAATGTCATTTTTTGTCTCCTAATTCTTGCTAACAGTCTTTAACAGGCTGAATTTGTAGTATTCCAGAAGTGTGCAGGAGGAGTAGGCCACACATCCTATGTGAACTATGGTTCTGGCCAGACCCCAGATCTGATGCCCATGCTGTATAAATTTGGCTCCTTGTTGAATTGCTTTTACTGAACTTCCATTTGTTGGATGACCAACAGCTGCCTGGGTATACAGGGATGTTATTGAAGCTGTAACCCACTTGACTGTATACTGCTATATTTATGAACTTCATGGAGAAGTTCTCTCAAGCCTCACTACTTGGGAAAAGTGTTTCTCCTGATGAGTGGTTTACTTTTATCTTGGAAGCACCAAGGAGGTCATAACTGATTATATTTTTCTCTTTGCCCTGGCTTCTACGGAGCTCTGAAACAAATTTGTTTAGCATCTTTTGTGTAAAGCTTGGATCGTGAAATTAGGATCACCCCGAATTTCATCTTATTTTCCTTTCCTTTTTTTTTTTTTTTTAATTATAAAGACACAGGGAGGTGGTGTAGTGTAATGAGTCTGCTGTGTGACCTTAGGGAAATTGCTTAATGTCCCTGAACCAATTACCTCACTGCACATGGGGATGATGGGGACTTCTATCTCATGAAGTTATTGAAAAGATGCCATGAAAAACTGCAGACAAAATGTTTACCATAGTGTCTGGCTCAAATGTTAGTTGTTTGTTTGTTGTTGTTTTTTTAATAAAATAGTTGGCCATACAGAAATCTATGAAATAGGACAAAAGTCTTTTTTTAATATCTTCACCCCCAAATGATTAGTGGGGTCCAAGCTATTATTTTTCCAATTTTTTTCTTGGCACATAATGGTTTTTTTTATTTTTTTTAATGTTTTATTTATTTCTGAGAGAGAGAGAGACAGCATGAGCAGGGGAGAGTCAGAGAGAGAGGGAGACACAGAATCTGAAGCAGGCTCCAGGCTCTGAGCTAGCTGTCAGCACAGAGCCAGATGCGGGGCTCGAACCCATGAACCATGAGATCATGACCTGAGCTGAAGTCAGATGCTTAACCAACTGAGCCACCCAGGCGCCCCCTTGGCACATAATGTTAATTACATGAAGGGAATTTCACTGTTTTACCTGTTACATTTTACAGTAAATATATTTTGGACATCATTACATGCCAGTGCACCTGCAGCTACCTCATTCTTTAACAGCCACCCAGTATTACATAGCATTTGGATTCTTTCCAGGTTTTAACTATTAAAAGTCCATCCAACAAATGTCTTGAGTGCTTATTATTATTTGTTGAGTTTATTTATTTTTGGGAGAAAGAGAGAGAGAATGAGTATGAGAGGGGCAGAGAGAGAGGGAGACACAGAATCTGAAGCAGGGCCCGATGCGGGGCTTGAACTCAAGAACTCTGAGATTATGACCTGAGCTGAGGTGAAGAGCTTATCCGACTGAGCCACCCAGGCACCCCTTGGGGGCTTATTGTTTGCCAAGAACTGTTCTAGACCCTGGGGATACAGGGATGAATGACATAGCCATGGCAGTTTCTGCCTGTATGGAGCTTGCATTTTAGGGAAAGAAATGAGGATGGGGTAACAGGCAAATAGATAAAGGGAAGTTGTTATAAGAGGCTGAAATAGGAAATGGAACCTAGAAGAAGGTAATCAGAGAAAGGTTTTCTGAGAAGATGACATTTAAACTGAGATCTAAAGAATGTGACAAAGGTAGCCATGCAAACAGAAGGGTGAGGGAGAAACCCGGCAAAAGGTATAGTGGGGGCAAAAGCCCCAAGGGATGAAAGTTATCTTCATCACTCAGGAGGCATTTGAGAATCCATAGTATGCCAGGCCGTATTCTAGGCACTAGGAAAGAGCCAAACAAGTTGCTGCCCTCACGGAGCTTACTGTAGAGGTGTAACACAGAGAAACAGAGACTGACAACAAGCAAATGGGTGAATATATGACGTAAGGGTCAGATAGTGATAAGTGATGGGAGCTCTTTTTTTTTTTTAATAAAATTAATTCTTTTTTAAGTTTATTTTAAGAGAGAGAGAGGGAGTGAATTCCAAGCAGGCTCTGTTCCCAGCATAGAGCCCCACATGGGGCTCAGTCTCACAAACTGACTTGAAATCGAGAGTCAGACACACGAGGGGCGCCTGGGTGGCTCATTCCACTAAGCATCCGACTTCAGCTCAGGTCATGATTTCACGGTTTGTGGGTTTGAGCCCCACCTCTGGCTCTGTGCTGACAGCTCAGAACCTGGAGCCTGTTTTGGATTCTGTGCCTCCCTCTCTCTCTGCCCCTCCCCTGCTTGTGCTCTGTCTCTCTCTGTCTCTTGAAAATAAATAAATGTAAAAAAAGCAACAACAACAAAAAAGTCAGACACTTAACTGACTGAACCACCCAGGTCACCCCTGGGGTGCTGTTTTCACTAGGAAAGTCAGGAAAGTCTTCTCTGAAGAGGTGATTCTTGAGTGGAGACCTAAGAAAGGCCTTTACAAGTCATCTGAATACCTAGGGGAGAAAAGGAGGTACAATAGCCCTGTGGCTGGAGTGTCCTTGTCCTGTGAGAGAGCAAGAAAATGATGGTTAATGAGATTAGAGATGAAGCCAGATCATGTGGCATCTGGAAGCCATGTTGAAAATTTTGGATTTTATTCTTAGGGAGTGGAGGGTTATAAGCAGAGAATGTGATCAGATTTTTTTTTTTAATTACTCTGGATGCTGTGTGGAAAAGAGACTGTAGAGGGGCCATTGTGTAAATAGGGGGACCAGTTAGGAGGCTTTTAAAGTAATCCAGGCAAAATCAGACGGTGGCTTGGTCTTACTTGGAAGAAGTGAGGGTGATGAGAAAAGGAATGTCCTTGAATATGCATCTTTGTTCACATATACAAGCATTAAGTTGTTGAATATAAAGTCTTAGAATTAGAAATCGAATCACTGAGCAATGACACCCTGGTGGCAACAAGCACAGCCAGCACCCAGTCCTTTGGTTCTAAATTCCATTCTCCACTGAAAGAAACTAGGTGCATGGGGAAAGTGGCTGTTCCCAAGGCTGTAGCAGGGCTACAAGATGAGCTTGGAACTTGTGCCAGAAAATAAAGGACTGCTCAGACATGTCAAACAAAGGAGCCAGTTTGAAGGGACTTTCACTGGCCACAACAGGGACAATTTCAGCATCAAAACAATCACAGTAACAGATTATTACCTATTAATGAAATAATATCTATAAGTACATACTAACCTTAACTAAATAAACCAATATGAAAGGAAAGCTCTTGCTCACAGCAGGAGGGCCAATGAGGTTAGAAAATCATTCCCAATCAGTAATCATTGATTCCGCTGGGAATCATTCATTGGATACTAAAACTAACGGATAAAAGTTTGATGAGAAACAGGCAGTTTATATAGTTTAGAAGTATGTTCCAATGAGATATTTATTAATTACAAAGAAAAAAGTAGTAACATAGTAGAATTGTAGGGAATACTGGAGGATAACACTTGAAGCCCACTGCCCAAGTGGTCCCTCTGGAATACAGTCTTTCTCACCATCTTTAATGAGTGTCTTGAAAATTTTTTCTTAAACAAAGACAACACAACATCATGTGCTTTCTGATATCTTAAACTGAGAAAACACAACATCAATTCAGCAGTAATACATAATCATGAGGAAACATCAGATAAATGTAAACAGATAACCACAGTGGTCTTTATTGTTCAAAAATGCCCATGTCGTAAAAGACAAAGGAAGGCTAAGAAGCTGTTTCAGGTTAAAGGAGACTAAGAGACAGGAAAACTAAATTCAGTGTTTTGGATCCTGGAACAGAATGAAAGTTGTTATGAAAGAGACTATTGGGACACGTTGCAAGATTTGAATAAGGACTGTAGAATAGAGAAAGCAACATGGCAAAAGGTTATTAACTGGTGAATCTGGAAGAAAGGTAAGCAAGAGTTCTTTGCATTATTCTGCAAAGTGTTTTACCTCCAGCTTCCAGCCCCAGTGAGGGAGGAGGGCCCATGATTGCAGGCTTTTTGAAAGAGGTACTACCACTCAGCTCAGTCTACATGCTGCCATGCACATACTTCCAAATTCCAGTGTTTGCTCCAGGCCATATGGGTGTAAGAGAGCCCTAAAGGGAGCCTAGATGCCCTCTTCTTTGATCTTTTCTTTGAACTTAACCCTTAGAAGCTTTGAACTCATAAAACATCTCTGCTGCCAGGGACCTTGCTGTTCACCTGGTCCAATCCCCTCAATTTACATTATGCTGGGAATCCAAGGCCAGAGAAAAGCAATGAGTCACCTAAGGATATACAGTAGGTGGGAATCCAAAACTCCTCGATCTCAGTAGGGCTTGGGCCACCAAGCCCAGTCCTGATGGCCTCCTCCTTATCTTGCCCCAGCCTTACCTGACTTTGGCATATGGTCTGGAGTCCTTCACTCAATAAACCCTGGCTGACCAATTTTAAGCTTTAACCCACCCCCCAAAAGAGTAGCTCACATTCTACTTAAAGGAATGACCCTAATAAATTCACACACATAACTGAGAACTCATTGTGTGCAGGTACTATGCT